TATTGGGATTGCGAGCGTTAACAGTTAAAGACAGAAACCAAGCTGTGGGTTCTGCCGGAAATCAGCATGTTAGGGGCGAGTGGAGGCGAACATGGCCGTGAGATGGACTGGACGGCCCGCAAGGTGACACTCGGTGTTCAGCACGTGGGGGTCCTCGGGTGATGGTACAGGGACCCAAGAGGGGGTCCCGCTGAAGACAGCTGGGGGGACTTGGGGAAGAGACAAGATGGGAGGCCACAACCAGGCATGGAGGTCGGAGGGGGCCCGGGTCCAGCTGGTGACGACCCACGGAGAGCTGCTGGCTGGGGGACACAGAGGAGCCTCGGCCGCCGCCCCCGGAACACCCACGCTGAGCGAGGCTGAGGTAACACTGGTGGGTGGGTGTCCGGCTGAGTGGGCAGGTAATTTGGGGTGCCTCGAAGGAAGACACTTTGGATCACAGGCCAATCTGTCTGGATTCTCCAATTGGGACAATTTGGCTGTTTGAGCTTGCATCCAATGGTCCGAATGGCCCACTGCCCGGGCGCTGGCCGAAGGGCCCTCTGTGCCGTGGGCGGGCTGGCGCGGACCGCCCCCAGGGTCGTGCCAGCCCTGTCGCTGGGGCCCAGAAGCTTCGGGCCTCTAGACTGCTAGTCAGGCTGCCGTGCAGGGGGGCTGCACTGGGGGCAGAAGTGGGGGTGAGGTAAGCCTCCCAGCCGCCCGGGTCCCTGCCGCAGCCCTCGGCGCCGAGATGGTGGCTGGGTCGGTACTGCCAGACCCGAGGGCCTCGGGGCCCAAGCGACCCCAGCTGTCGGCGACTTCGCAGCTCCCCTGCTCTGCGGGGCTCCCACTCTCCTGACTGCTCCTACTCCCCGGCCTCACCCCGCCTGGATCCCAGGAAGCCCCGCGGAGCTCTGAGCTTCCTGGGTGCAAGACGGGGCGCTGAGGAGGCGGGCAAGGTGTCACCGAGGGGTGGAGGGAGGGTTCCCCGAGTGCGCGGAAGGCGGCCACCTGCTCCCGCCAGATGGAGACCTTCGCTCACACCTCTGCAGCCCCTTCCCTCCCGGCAGGCTGGGCCAGCCGGGGGCCCCACCTTGGTGGCCTCCGAGCACCTTCCTGACACCCGAGGAGACACCTCCCTGCCCCCTCCTCCGCCCCTCAGGACCCTCGGGGACCAGCCACTGTCCCCGAGAGCCAGGCCGGGCAGCAGCCTTCTCCATTCCCCTGACATCTCCGGGGGGTGCAGTGGCCGGCACCCCCCCAGAGGCTCCACTCCCCACTCAACCCAAGCGACAGGGACAGACAAAAACAAAAATCAAATCAAGGGCAATAAATGGCGGAGGGCAGGACGTGCGGGCGGCCCCGCGGTGACGGGTGGTTGGCTTCGTGCGTTCGTCCTTTGGTCACTGCCCCCCTGTTACACGGGATGGGGTGTAAGTTTAATTTGCTGTATGAGCGCGTAAAAAGCGAAGGAGGGAAAAAAAAAAAAGGAAACAATTCCCCAGGAGAAGCCAATTAAAGGGGGGAAATAGATCAATTGGCGTCAATTTGGGCTCCCAATTCTAACTGTAATTCTGCAAATCTCCTCGTCACTCTCCTCCTGACCTGGCTGTCCGAAACCTTGCTGGACCACTTCCTACCCCAGAGCATCCCCCCACCCAGCCCCCACTGCCCCCCACCCACCCCTCCAACCGCCAGACTGCCCACTCTCCCCATCATCTTTGCCAGCCTCCTGGGGGGGCCCCCATTTCTGAGAGGCTCCCCCAGGAGGCTGGCAAAGATGATCCCTGGGTGTGCTGGGGGGGTCCCCAGATCTTACAGGAGCACACCTAGGGGGTCAGGCTACAAGGCAGGGCATGTCTCACTGGGCTACAGCCATCTCCAGTCTGGCCAAACCCATTCCTCGCTCCGCACGGTAGTAGGTGCAGGGATGCCCTGGGGTGGGGTCTGGGGCATCGGGACTCACGCTGCGGGGGCCGTGGGGACGGGCACCGAGACAAGGGGGATCTCCCTCATCTCAGAAGATGGAACCACCCGTCTAAGCCTGGGACACACGCCCTCCACCCTGGGCTGCATCCCAGGGGACAGGAGGGAGCACAGGACATGAAAACCTCATTGCAGCACAGCCTAGAGAATTTGGGGTGGAACATGGTCTAACCTGCACAATGCTGGGCTCAGGTAGTCCACGAACCTGTGTGTGTGTGTGTATGGATGTGTGTGAGGGTGTGTGTGTGTGTGAGGGTGTGTGTCTATCTGCAGGGATGCACGTGGGTCCATGTGCTTTCTAAGGTGGGGGCTGAACTGTAAGACTTTGCAGTGTGTGGGTATTGGTGCCAATTAAATTTCATCTGCTCAAATTCTGGTTTTCTGCCCTGTGCCCCTCCTCTGGCCTCACAGGGTCCCCCACTAGCTCCGTAGTGGCCTTGGCGATGGGAAACTGAGAGAGGAACGGGTCTGGGTCTTTGGTGTCATCCCACTGGAGTCCCCAAAGAGGGTCTGGCATGGGCAGGGAGATGGCTGTTAGGCAGTGACAAGCCTACCTTCAAATTCTGTCCCTTCCTTTCTCGTGGACAGTCAGATTCCAGTCAATTTAACTGAAGGTCCGAAGGAACAGAGAAGAAGGGGGGGGCCGAATTCTTTCATTTTGCCAATTTTTTGGAGGCCTAATTCGTTTTTAGTAATTTTTTCGCTAATTGATCTTTTTGGGTTTTTTTTTTAAAGCTAATTAGCCTTTCTGGTGTTTCTAAAAAGCCAATTCATTTTTAAGGGGGCTGATGTATGTGTTTGTGTGAGATTAAGGGGGCTCATGATTTCAATTTCTGTTATACAATTTGAAGATAATTGGGGGGGTATAATTTGGGGGAGATATTTAAAGCCAATTGGTTTCATACATTTTTAAAGGTGTTGTTTCCCTTGGCCCGATGGAGGGGGCCGAAGAGAGACTAGCCTGACATGGGGAGGTTGGGGCACGGGGGCTGGGTTGGGGAAGCCCGCTGAGAGGATGGTACAGAGATTTCAGAGGGGGACCTGATGGAAAGTCCCAGTCAAGAGGAGGTCACGCGCCAGATGGTGCCACTTCGCAGAATTACGACAATTTGGCTCACTTCCGATTGCTGGGCGCCTCGGGAGAGGCACCCCCGTGGGCGGCAGGGTCCTGGTTGGGCAAGGCGATCAGGGGACGGTGACGCTTGGCCTCTCTGAACACCTCCAGCTCCTTGGCGAGCGTGCGACCCCGGCGGGCACGCAGGAGGGCAGGCAGGCCCCTGCGCAGGCGTTGGGCGGACTGCTTCCAGGTGTCATATTGGAAGAATTTGCCCACGGGGTATCTGGGGAAGTTGTCCTAAGAGGGGAAGGGCCAGTCAAGGGGTGCCTGGACCCCCAGCCCCTGCCCCTAGCTGCCCTGACGCCCCATGTGGACTTGTCAACTTGCTGGGAACTCCTACCTAAACCCGTCATTGTGCCTAACGTGGAACAGGTCAGTTACTCACCCGGCTTCTGGACAACGTCCCCAGTGGGGGACACATGGCAAACGTGCAAAGGATTCTCCAGCTAAAGAGTTGGCTGTGCCCTGGCCCCCTGGCTCAGAGGTGACAGCCCAGAGCAGAGGTTCCCCTTGCAGCGGCCAGGCCGCCCCGGGCCCAGCACTGGGGGGCCGCCCCGACAAGCGGGGGTCGCCATCTTACCGGAAGCACGGTCGGAGGGGTCGACACGTCCCTCTCGGACTTGGCGGGGGTGGCACAGTAGGTCTCCAGCAGGGCCAGGTCGCAGCTGCGGAAGCAGCATTCTTCCACGATGCCACGGCTGCGGCGGCTCATGCGGCTTGCGGGCCGGCCTGGAAGTCCCACAGGAGGGACGAGAGGGCACTTCAGCACCAATTGCCACCGAGGAGGGTGCTCCTCCCCAGTCCCCGGCCCCCAGCCCCCACCCTCAGGACAGGACACCCAGTCACCTTGCAGGGACAGCGCACGGCCTGGGGTGGAGGAAGGAAGAGAGAGCAGGCGGCAGGGGTGCCCCAGAAAGAACAGGGGTGACAGCGGGTGAGCGGGTGAGCGTGATCCAGGACCAGCCCCCTGGCCTCTTGGCGCCTCCCTCCTCCGCCTGGTATTTAAAATGGGCACGTCCCCCTGGTCCACCATCAGGGGCTGCTTGGAAAATGCGTGGGGGAAGGTCCCCCAGTCCGGGATCCCGGGTCCCTGACCGGAAGGCCAGGCTGGGACCTGATGCTGTCCCCGCACTAACCAGGAGCCTGGGTGGTGGGCGGCCTTAGAGATGCCGAGACAGGTAGGCATGGGAGGAAGAAGAAGAAGACGGGAGGAGAGGAGTGAGGACCTGCAAAAACCACGCCCTCCTTTCTTCCCGTCCTCTCCCTCTCCTCCACGGCACAGGCTCCGGGACTCGGCTGCAAGGAAAATCCCCGGCCTTCCCCTTGGGTGCCGAGGGCAGGTGCCCTGCGTGGGGAGAGGAGCCCCTAGTAAGGGGTCCTGTTTCAGGGTTGGAAGTGTTAGGGGCTCCGTCCAGCCCCCCTTTCAGGGATGCCTGGTGCAAGGGAGCCACATCCCGGGCAAGGGCCGGCCAGCACCAGGCCCTACAGTGCCACTTCCTGCTCCCAAACGAGGCAGGAGAGAGAGGGTACAGGAGAAGCCAGGGCAGGCAGGGGCCTGAGAAGCGTCAGGAAGCAGGAACGCTTTTTAAAGAGAAGCTTTGTCATGCCAAGACGGGTGTTTTCAGCCACTTTCACAGAATGGGTAAGTAGAGGCTGCAGAGGAAGATGACGGGTGGGGAGTGGCGGGGCTGGGTTGGAGCCTTATGGTCTCTGCCGACTTGCCCCGGCCTTGTCCCTCACCCCTGCCAGGCCCTGAGGGGCATCTGGCTGAGCCCAGAGGGAACACCCACTCTCCACCTTCAGGGTCAGGCTGGGGCTGTGCCCCAGTTTCTCCCATTATCCACATGGACACTCTCCAGAATGGCCCTGACCCGTCCTACTGAGCAACTAAGGTCCAGAGCCTACAGGAGAGGTCGCCTCCACTGGCAGCCCCACCCTGCCACACAGGGCACAGGGGTGCGGAGGAGGCCGGCCAGCCAGTCCCAGAATGGGGGTCAGAGAGGGCGAGGTGAGGCACAGCCAAAGCACCGTCAGGCTGGCCAGTGGGCCCCCCAAATTGCAGCCCACCCCTCAGGCTTGGATCCCACCCTGCCCTGGGGCCTCGAGCCCCCAGCCTCCAGTGGCGTTGTGAGGATAGTGGTCATCTCGTGTCCTGTACCCCAGGGGAAACTGAGTACCCCCAGCACACGGGGCATGCCCACGCACACCGCCAGCCACATGTGCTTTTGTTCTTATTGGTTTTCAACCCACTTTATTCAATCTGAAATCCAATAGTCCCTGAACACGTGCCCACTGTCAAGACACTGGGCACCACCAAACAAGCGGGGAAACACCAGAGCCCACGAGCCTGGCCGCGGGCAGGTCAGGGAGAAGGAGGAGGGGAAGGGTGCCTTCTGCTGGGGCCTGGGTCACCCCGTCCCCAAGTCCCACCTCGCCGGCTATGGAAGGTCTGGCCCCCACAGAGACACCATCCATTCATTCTCCCTCCCGCTCTGAGTCTTGTTGCAGGAAAATCAGGGGATGTGAGCACCTCCCAGGCACACCACGGGTGCCCAATAAATGGGGACGGCAAGGTCACAGCTGCGCTCTCCAAGTCTCAGAGCAAGAGCCCACAGCCATTGACCTTGGAGGGTCCTCTCTCCTCCCGACCCCCACACCAGGGATCCCGGAGGATCCGCAGAGGTGTCTGAGGAGGCGTAAGGAGGACTCCAGCATCTACTGAGCACCTGCTGTGTACTCCCCTCCCCCCTTGCCCTGCCGAACTACTTACTGAAGTAGAAGCCGCGGTCCCCACAGACAAACTGGAGGGTGTCCACCAGCTCCCCGCCGCACAGAGTCTCACTGGGGCGGTAAGCAGCGAAGCAGCACGAGGCGAAGGCCAAGAAGGCGAGCAGCACCAGCACCGACTTCTCCATCGGGATCCCCACTGGCATCTGGGGTGGAGACGAGACCATGAGCCCGCCGCCCGCCACGTCCAGGCCCAGGCCTCTCCCGCCGCCGGCCCTGCCACCTCCTGACTTCAGGCCCCGTTATGTGGCTCTGAAGCCTGACTCTTCTCCTTAATCTCAATCGTTTTCATTACAGAAATAACAGAAGCTTTCACTGCTGATGCAGGCAGGACGCAGAACCGCCCTGAGAGTGAAGGGGTGGAAAGCACATCTCTGACGGGCAGTCATTTCACGTGGGGACCACCGCCCCGCCGACATCAGCGCAGGCGCTCAGCCACACCCAGAGCGGCAGGGGCCAGTGCTGGACACTGGACCTGGCCTCCATCCTATGATGTCATGGCAGCAGGGCCAGCACAGGGCAGTAGCCACTCTGCGGGCCTCCCAGCGCCAGCCAAGGTGGGAGACAGCCCCACCCAGCCACAGGACATGTGCATCCCAGAGGGCCAGCAGAGGCAGGGGTCCAAGAGAACCGGCTCCCCCTCCCAAAGCAACAGAGGGGTCTTGCTGCACCACTCCCACCCCTCTGCCTTCCCCGCTGCCCTTCCTGCCTTCCCAGTCTGTAGCTCAGCAAAGCTTGAGTCAAGGGTCCAATGGTTGGCACCACGGTGCCAGCCACATCCCAGGAAACTTGTTCTCCTGAACCACCCAGTCCATTGATTCCAGTGCCCCCTAAGCACCGCAAAACACACATCAGACCCAAAAGCCTCCTTTCCAAGCCTTGAATCAGGCCACCCAGGGCCAGGGACCCTGAAGTCCCTCCAGGACCACCAGACCCTCTCTCCATGTGGGATATTGACCCCCACCCCAGGTGCTGGAGAGAATAGGTCAGGCCACCTGGAGGCCAGACTCCAGGTCCCTCGGGGCCGCTTCTGGAACAAGAGGCATATCTTAGGACACATCCCCTCGCAAGGTTCCCTGAGGAGCTGAGGGGCTTGGAAAGGACCTTGCTTCTCTTTAGACCCAGCAAGCTACCCCTGCCTCCTCTAAAAGGTGGAAGCCCCTCTCCCAGGCAGGCAACTCCAGGTTCCAGCCCCTTCTGGAGGGACAGTCACAGCCCAGTGTCTCTGAGCCCGTTGGCACCCTGCTGCTACTCAAGGAAGGGCCTGGGCGGGCTGTCCCCTGTGTCCCTCCCAGGCTGTGCACCCAGTGGGCACTGAGGCACCAAGCCGCATGCCCTTCCCAGCTTGGAGCAAGGCAGCTGCACACTTGGCCCAAGGGGTTTTGATGCAGTAAATCCTGTAGGAGAAGGAGACAGGAGGAGGCCCAGCCTTGCTTAAGCTCTTCCATGGAAGCATCTGAAGTGCCACCTCACTCACCTCCTCCTCCCTGGGCCAGACCCCAGTCTGTCTCCCGACACCCCAGTGCCACCCCCTCCAAATTCTAAGAAGAAATTTGGTCGGCGAGCAACTGGGCGCCCTCCAGGCAGCAGCTCCATCCTTCTGCAAGCTCCGCCACTGAGCGTGGGGTCCAGGCCAGAGCACCAGCAGAGAGCAGGAGGCATGCTGAGGTGAGAGCCAGGTGAACCGCCGGCAGAGGAGGGAGGGCAGGGGTGAGGAGGGCAGAGGCTGGGAGGAGGGCTGGAGGATCTGTG